GGCGTTTTGACCAAACAACAATTAGTGGCAATGACAGTTCCCATTCCACCATAATGTTCCATAGATGACATCGATAATGGTGCTGAGCGAAAAAATGGTCCTTCATAATTTAAGAATTCCATGCTTTTCTTGAAAATGGTCCTTCATAATTTAAGAATTCCATGCTTTTCTTGCTCCTGGTGACTGTAGTTGCTTTAATGTTGATCCGATTCTTATCCTGTGACCCTTTTTTTTTTTTGGGGTGGAATTTATCTTGTGACTTGCAAAAATGCAATCGTCCCCACTGCCCTTTTTTTTTTCCCATTGTCGCAGAGTGAAGGAAAAATTCACACAATAATTGAATAACAGGTCTTTTCGTGGCAAAATATGTAGATTACCCCCTTAACTCACTCATTGGTGACAAATCACCCCCTCAACTCACTTTACATGCAGATCACCCCTCAACTCAACTGCAATGACAAATCAACCCCTCTGTTAACGCCGACACATCCTTTTGTTAGTTTTTAATAGTCCGTTCATCGACCTCTCTTTTGCATCTAATGTGGCATTTTTGTGTTAAGATGGATGCTGAGATGGACAAGCTACCTGGACAAGAGTCACCGCATCTCTCGCCAACCCTCCCTCTATTCTTCAAAGGCTTAAATCTGTGAATTTTTACAATTATAGATCTCAAGAGTCAATTACTACTTTTGAGAAATCTTCCCATCTGGATGTGGATTACCATTTCGCTTTTCAGTGGACACCGGTGTCGGAGAAGAAACAGCGAGCTGTCCTCTCAGGATTTCCATCTATGTTGCAGTTTATTAACCTTTATGGCTATTTTTCTCAAAAACCCACTTCTAATTTCTCGCTCAAAACCCCAAAACCCGACACCCATTACTTGCTAAAGCAAACCGATGACCAAGAGCAACCCCAATTTGAAGAAGAAGAAGAAAAGGAAGAACAAGAAAAAGAGGAGAGCGAGCAAATCCAAGAACAGAGCTTCAACGAGGTGTATAGTAACCTGAAACAAAACCACATTATGAGGGCCAAATATGACACCGAACCGACATCCAAGGAGATACGCACTAAACTAGCCGGTAGGATGAGTCAGCGAGCACGAAGTCTGCATTTGTGCATTCTGAGGAAGAAGTCATTGTTGAGTCTCGGCGGCTGGCAACCAGAGGAGGTTGATGATAAGGTAAATTCCAAAGCAGATGATTTCATCAACAGGTTCAATAATCAACTGACGTTGCAACGAATTGATTCCATTGTTAGGTACAAGGAGATGATCCAGGGACTAAGCGCAAAATGAATTAAAATGAATTCAATAATTTTCTAATTTTAATTTGCCGTTGATTTTAAGGGGTCTATTGGATACAATTTAATTATAGATCTAATGTCTTCTTTTGGCGTTAGCTTCCATCCAACAGGTCCACCGTGGAGCATAATGCCCACACTTGCAGGTTCGTGGAGGACCTTCATACTCCCACTCAACATTGCATTTATCCTCAAAATATATTGTTTTCATTGACTATTCAGAGCTTGACAAAGAAGCCATGCTCGATGAATTTCAGATCTTCAAGGAATAGTGTTCAATTTTTTAAAGGACGAAGAGGGGAAGAAGAGATAGAAGCTAGCAGAAATAAAACCGTGTTTTCATTGATGATTCAGAGTTTGATGAAGAAGCCATGCTCGATGAATTGCAAATTTTAAAGAAACAATGTTCAATTTTTGAAAGGACGAAGAAGGGAAGAAGACAATAGAAGACGATAGAAGTTGGAAAAAATAAAACCTGGCAAAAATAAAACCCTAGATC